ACACACACACACACACACACACACACACACACACACACACACACACACAGAGTTCTCTTTGAGAAAGACTCTAAATAGAAAAGTAGAAAGGCTATAGCGATGGATGAAGCTATATAAATCAATGAACAAAGTTAACTATTCCAACTTAACATCTCTAAGAATGACCCATAAACATACAGCACACGTATGTGCTCTTCTGGCTTCAGCAAAGTCAACATATGGATCAGGAATCCATTTTACTGAAGCCTAAACTAGTATTTGTCTAATGCTGAGAGTGTACATAGTAAGTAATTTCAATAGTAAGCAAGTCATTATTTCTTTTAAAGTCCAATGAGCATACAAGATTGTTACTGCTTCAAGTAAAAAGAAACTGTCATAATCATTTTAAAAATTAAAACATAGTCTTACACAGCAACAGTCAATATTCGAGCAAAAGATTAACAAGAGATGCGTAAGGTAGCAAGGTGACTTCATCACCTCCAAGATTTGCATTCACTAAAAAAGATGTGCTAAAAGGTAACCTAGAGCCTACTGAAGCTAGGGATGGAAAAAAGTTCAACAGTAGAGAAAGAGTTGCATGAAAGAGTGAGCACCAGAGTCAAGGGACACCCACCCTAAAACCCAGAAAGTCACAGAACACTTTCAAATACTCAAGGATAATCAGAACACAAACCAACCCTTGTCCTCTCATTTAGGAAAATTACCAGGGTATAACAGACATGACAGTCTTGTTTATTACATTTGTGTGTATTTGTGTACAATGTGAGTACAGGTGTGAGCACATCAGTGCACATGTGGAGGGCAGAGGACATGTTTAGGTAGTCAGTTTTCTCTCTCTCTCTATTCTGAGTTCCAGGAACAGATTCAGGTTCTTCAGCCTGTAGATCCTACACATGAGGTTTTCACAGTGACTCTAAATTCCAACTGGTTAGGAAAGCAGAAATGTATTTATTTGGGGTTAATTCTTCACCCAAAAGCTCAACAAATTGCACACTTGGAATACAGAGAGGCAGCAGGACTATCTTAAAACTTTTTATTTAGAGACAAGGTCTCACTGTGTATCTCTGGCTGTTCCTGAACTCAGGAGCAGACCAGGTTAGTCTTGAATTCAGAGACCTGACAGCCTCTGCCTCTCAGTGCTGGGATTAAAAGTGTGTGCTGCCATGCCTAGCTTGTGCTTCAGAACTTTAAAGATGATCTCACCTGTCAGTAAGCAACATAAGGTTTCCTGGACACCTAAATTTTCTTTTTAAATGACCTTGACTCTCCTTTACCCAATTTTCTTAAATCCTAAAGTTGTGAATTTGTACTTGATGTAATATGAGAAAAACACTTTAGGAAAATGTCAAAATTAGAGATTTTAAATATTTTCTAAAGCTGATAGCTACCAATATCTTACTGACTTGTCAAAGTGAGTCTGCGCTATCTAGAGCACTGGCTTCATTAGATACAAACCTACCTTCATGGAAACGCTTTCCTGGTAACCATGCGCTCTGACACTCATCATCTGGGGGAAATATTAGGAGCCCTTGTCAGGCAGACGTGATTTCATGTTACAGATGAGTGTACTAAGGTCCAAGCTGCTAGCTATGCTAACAACCCAGCCCTAAGTTACTACAATACTCTGTGTGTGTTTGTGTGTGTATTTGTGGAAAGCAGACGTCAACTTCAGCTGCCTTGCTTAGGAAACACTCACCTTAAAAAACGAAACTAAACAAAAGCCTGATCATTACCACCATTACCACCACCGCCACCACCAAAGGACAGGCTTCTCACTGACCTGGAATTCACTAACTAAGCTAAACATGAGACAGCAACCCCCGGGGGTCTATCACCTCAATTCTGTGATTATAATCACATGCTGACCGGTCTGGCTTTTTACATAAATCCTGGAGATTCAACTCAGGTTCCTCACTGCAAATACTTTACTGAGCTATGTCCTTGGTCCTTAATGTCAACTTTTTGATGCATAAATGGTCACACAATTTAATGTCTATGTTAATGTAGCAAGACAAAAAGGTTAGTCTTTGGCTGGAAGAAGAGGAGGACCACTGGGGTGGGCCTAAAGGCTGTACCTGACCCTACCCTTGCTCCACTGTGATGTGACATGTCTGAGTTGCTATGAATGGTTTCATGCCTTTGTTGCCATAGAGGACTAAAACCTTCTGGAATCTGAGCCCTGAAAAGCATTGCCACAGTGACAAGGAAGGCAAACCACTACAGAGGGAGGGGCTGGAAACACTGCTCAGTGCAGGGCACTTGTTTCACATGTAGTACACAGCCCTAAGAAAAGCAAAACCCAGAAGCTTGCCGATGGTGTTCAGGGGATCAGAGTGAGTGCTACTCAGAATGGTTTAATTGTCAACTGATGTATGACAAGTACTCTGGTTTTGAGATCTCATTTCTGTGAGCTCAGTAGAGCTCTCAATAGCCAGCCTCTGTTCTATACAGTGAGTGTCTACTTTCTAAGCACAGAGTCATACAAACATGCCTAGGTTCGTTGACCCCACTACAACTGTTTCTGAATTTGATTCCAGCTCTTTAAAACCAATAATGTATTACTGTCCTATGACTTATTAATTCAGCTTCCAAATGGAATTATCTAAAAGAGTCCATAATTGTTGTCTTGACTTTTTCTTTTTCTGGTCTCCATGTGTCTACCCTTGCTCACATGTAGCAACTCTAACTTTTCCTTTGTTAAAATCAGTTATGCTAAGCTCAATACAAAGGTCTATGACAGCAGCTATAAGAGAAGCTATACAAGAGCTTGCAAGTTTAAGGCCAACATGGGCAACTTAGTAAGATCTTGTCTCAAAATAGAAAGTAAAAATAAGTGACATATACTGTTAATCTGTTTTTTATTTATGAGTAGTTTCTCTCATTCTAAAGTAAATAATTTACTATTTATTTAGTCCTTTCTCGACTCATCTAGAGACAAATTGCAATTGAATAATCTTAAACAACAACAAACTGTCAAGGTCACCAGTATTGGCTGGGGAATCTCTCAGATTTATAAAGGCCAACCTTATGACAATCCAAGATTCTGATTACAGTTACTAAATTTTCACGATTCTTAGTCAGAATACAGACCCAATAATCAACAGTCTGGCTCTGCCACTGGCTAATGCTGAGATGGATTCATCTGCACACTGGCAATCATACAAGTATGGAGCATGAATGTCTCAGAGCACTAATGGAGCACCTAGCAGAGTGAGTGTCTTGGGGGTGTCAGATTACCACAGCACCTTGGAAACAGTTCTGAGCAGTGCTTCCCAAGCACTAGATCCAAGTCACAACTAAAAAACCCTTAATACACTTGCCCTGTGGCACTGACTCCCCACTAAAATGGTACAGAATGTGTACACTCTGTAGTATACTTTCAATCATCTCTAGAACACTTATAAAATCTAACAAGAAGCAAGTACTATGTAAAAATCAGTGCTCTGATGCACTGTTTAGAGAATACGATACAAATAAAGACTGTACTGCAAGGTGCACAAATGAGATCTAAGACAACAATTTTCAAGCAAGTGCTGGTGGGAACAAAGGCTCTGCACTACAGGGAGCTTGAGCAGTGTCCGTACCACTCACAGAACTCCAAGGACTGCTTAGCACAGTCACCTCAAGTTTTACCTCTTGGAGCTGTCTACAATTTCACCCCAATATTTTTTTTACTGATTATTTATTTATTTATTTATTTAATGTGTATGAGTACACTGCAGCTGTCTTCAGATAAACCAGAAGAGGGCATCA